GATGAAAATACACTCCTAAATCATAGATATATAAATTATCCCACTAAGATTGAATTATAGTCTGGAGTAAAGTTAGGTGTTCACTTAAAAGCCCTGCTACTCTGAGTATCTTCTTATGAGGTAGGTGCATATGGGTTGGCATTTTCATGTGTGACACACTGCGGAAAAGAGGTCTCTGCAAAATAAATACATACAGCATTACCAGGATGATATAAATGAATTAATTTCCCAAACCAGGGAACATTTCAGAGTATTCTTTGCAATTGTAGAAGTGAGCCAACATGTTGAAATACTTGATTCACACATTTCACCATCCCTGGATGAGTTTAAAAACTGTTTGGATGTGGTGCTCAGGGACATGATTTAGCAGAAGTTGTTAGAGTTTGGGTAGTTTGGTTAGATTGTGGTTGGACTTGATGATCTTTAAGGTCTTTTCCAACCTGAGCAATTCTATGATTCTCAATTTTAAAGTCAATTTTATGGTCCAAAAAATTCCTCTGTGTGAATCAACATATAGGTCCATAAATAAAATAATCTCAAGGTAAAGCAAGCAAGCAATAGCTGCTTATACTCAATATATTTTAAAAATATAAGGTAATCTAATGTTAATTTTGTAAATATTTTACCACTTTACTTTTCATTTGTGCTTTTGTTCATTTGCTAAAATGTTGGAAACGCATTCTCAATGAGGAGTTTAAGTTATGAGATCATCCACTGACACGTGTGTGTTGTGAATGCAACTGTTTGGGCACAAAGGCAGTTTGGCACTGCAGTATATAAATATTATAGAGACCTTCTATATCAACTGGTAACTGTGTAACCTAAACACAGATCTACTGATAACCTCCAAAACTTGTGAAAACCTCACTCAGTGGTGAGGCTACTTCAGAGGGAATGAGTAAAGAAAATGGATGTTAATCAGATTCTCTGTTATCATGCACAGCAAGAAAGAGAGAAGCAGCACAGTGCAGAGGAATGCGCAGCGTGCCTTTGGGAGAGAAATAAAGCAGGTACAGGAAGGTAGCTAGAAGGGAAAGGGAAACAAAGGAAGGAGAAAAGGGAGCAACCTGATTGCAGAATCACCAGGTCTTCTGAAGCAATCAGCAAAGAGCTCCTTATGACTTAGCATTTCACTTATTCCAGAGGGGGCCCACCCCAAGCCCTGCTGGAGCAGTGAAGTTCTGCACATCTCTTTCATGACACAGAATTGCCAAGGATGCTCTTCAAAGGTTAAATCTGATGAGAAATGTAGGATTTTGTGCCAAAATACTACCATGGGGCATCATTCTGTTTCAGTTATTTTGAGATAGAAGAAAATGCAGAATGCATGCAAAAATTGAATCATAGAATCAGAATCATAGAATGGCCTGGGTTGAAAAGGACCAAAATTGTCATCTAGTTTCAACCCCCCTGCTGTGTGCAGGGTCACCAACCACCAGACCAGGCTGCCCAGAGCCACATCCAGCCTGGCCTTGAATGCCTCCAGGAATGGGGCATTCACAGCCTCCTTGGGCAACCTGTTCCAGAGTGTGCTAGTAGAGTATAAATGCATTCTGATGGTGAAATGAAAGGACAACAGAGGATGAGTATATTTTTGTAGGGCCATCTGTGCTATAGAGCTAAAGAAGATTGTGAAAAAGATCATGGTTGAGAATCTGAAAAAAAAAAAAAAAGAAACTCATGCAATGAAATGTCTGCAATGAAAAGCAGAAAGACAAACAAAATAAAAAGTATTCTTAGTGTAGACAAAGACTGGCTTGATATTTTAAGGGTAAAAAGGAAAAAAAAAAAAAAAAAAAAAAAAAGCAAACAGCAGTTGCAATTCAGAAGGCAAAGGCAGTTCTTTGTGATATTCATAAAAATGTTTTCTTCAAAGAAAAGTGGGAAAAAAAATGCCATGAATACAATGTGCTTCAAAGCGCATTTACGTGAGAAATGAGTGTGTCTGTACTTTGGTTTATGAAATATGTATCGATGTCTGCAATTGCATTTTTGCCCTTCAATTATATTTCATAATTAATAATTTCTGAGGTTTAGTAGCAGCATTGGCTTGCTGAATGCATGCTGGTTTGTACACTGTGTGTATACAAACTCCTCTGGCCCTGATATAGCTCCATAGGAGCTAAGCCAGAGTAATGAAATGGAAATTTGGTTCTGTTTCTTGGAAGCAATTTCTTCAACACTTACTTACTATTTGGGGCCCTTTCCATTGATAATCTCTTAAGTGATAAAATAAAACAGAAGATGTTCCCCTGGAAGTGTCCAACAGCCGTACATTTAATTTAGGTTTAAATGTTCATCTGCCTTCATTTAACAGAGAAAGAGTATCAGTTAACAGGTGATATGAGTCCTCTCACAAATGCCACAGAAGTTGAATCCAAAAAGAGGAAAACAAACCTAGCAAATCATAGAACCATAGAATCGTAGAATGGCCTGGGTTGAAAAGGATCACAATGATCACCTAGTTTCAACCCCCCTGCTATGGGCAGGGTCACCAACCACCAGACCAGGCTGCCCAGAGCCACATCCAGCCTGGCCTTGGAGAAATAGAGAAATACAGGAGGAAAGTGCAAAACCCTCCCCACACTTCAGATGAGTGGGTCTCCTCTAAAACCTACTGGGGTGAGCTGGAGTCCTTCAGTGTGGTGGGTGGATCTCTTCTGATCAAATTCTGTCCGCAAGAGAAGTGGCTGAGGGTGAATATAGCTGAAAAAGTACCCCACATCTGGAGCAGGGAGAGCAGGACACCAGGGACACGTGGCCCCAGCACTCAAGCACTGCCTCCAAGCTGATTGGTAATAACGTGCTGCCATGGGGCACAGCCAGCCTGATGCCATCTGTTCCTAAATATTTGCTGCATTGCTCATAGGTATCTTCTGCCCTTTTAGTCCATGGGACCCCAATCTCCACCTTACTATCCTCACCCTGAATCTGACAATTTCCATTCGTTCTCCTCTCCCCCACCCCAAACAGTTTAGGTGAGACTTTCAGCTCCAGAAGCACAGCAGTTGCACCCCCATGCAACCCCATATCACTCCATAACCTCTATTAGAAATCTGTAGCACCGTTTGACCTGCGTATGTCACAAAGTATCAACTGAAGTAACTTAAAATGCACACTAAACCATTTTCTTGAAGATTTAACTATAAATAGAACGACTTGGGAACTTGTTGAGATACGTAAGCCACGAACTTGCAGCTAAATTAGCTCTTTTATTAAGCACCTTCTCTGCTGACAAGGGGAGCTTAGGTGCATATATTGTATTATATATAGGGACTGGGTGAATTATTAAAAGATACCTGGAGAAAGAAGCAATTTGCATTAAAAGTCTGAGGCAATGGAGATCATATGGACCGTAATGAGAATGAAATTAATGTGGGGTTAAAAAAAGGAACAGAAATAAAAGTGCAGCTCCAGCACTGCAAAAGAGATTGCAGAGGAAATGTATATTATTTAAGAACCATTATGCAATGATGTAATTAAAGACTCTTGTAATGTGTGATAACATGCAAAAGAACAAGCAAAATGAGGTTTCTGTGTGCTCGCTGCCTTCCAAAGGCTGAGTTCTGAGTTCTTAACACCCTCAGAATAACCCAGCAATGCACTCTGTCTTCTTTTCCTGAAATCTGAAGTAAAAGATTGTGTCCGAAAGGGAACTTCATACTGACCATGCAGATTAAAGGGTTAGAAGGCATTTTCAGCCGCCCATATAACTCCTTTTCTTTCATTAATAATTGGAAGGGGCTATGTTTAGTCACCTATCTTAATGTAACAGTGCCCTATCACAGCCACACTGACATTCCCATTAGAGCATTCCAGCAACGAGCTTGAACTCTCTCACTGCTCTGTTTTAGGGATGCTTTGAGCTTATTCCACAGGTATAAAATAGAGAGCCTAAGAGGAGTATCAGCGGCTCAGCCTGCACGCATTGGGTATGGGGACGAGAGGAGGCAGAAGGCCGAGGGCAGGCGGCCGAGGAGAGCTGCGGGCACCGAAGCACCGCGCTGAGGTTTAAAGGGCTCCGGGAGCTCCCGGGCTGCGGAGAAGAGAATGGGGCGGAGGGAGGGAGACAGGGAGTGAGTTCGCTTGCCGAAGGAAATGTTTAAAATGCCGTTTCTTCGGGTTGGCGGACTAAAACGGTGCCTCCCCACCTTCCCCCAGACGCCTGTTAAGAAAGTGCGAGTCACGGCATCATTTGGGAATGACACTTCTCTCGGCTGCGTTTCACAAAGTTACGACAACTAGAGCGGCGTTTCCAGCGGGATGGGAAACGGGCGGCTGCGGAGCGCCCAACTCGCGGAGGTGGCCCAGGAGGGGCGGTTCCTCCGCTTCTGGTCCCCCCGTCCCCAGGGCCGCGCCGACGGCAGCGGGGGGCGGCGGCAGAGCCGGCGGAGCGCCCCTCCCGCCGGGACGCGGCGCGGTCCCGGCACACGCCCCGTCGCCACCGCCCTCCGGTGCCGCCGCGCCCGCACCTCCCGGCAGCCGCGGGGCCGAGCGCCCCCTTCCCCGCCCCTGCGCCAGCGCCGGTGCCGGTGCGGGGCGGGGGGCGGCGGCAGGGAGGGAGGAGGGATGAGGTCATCCTCTTTGCCGGCGTCAGTCAGCTGGGTGGTGGCGGCGGCGGGCGCGGGCGGCGGCGGGCGCGGGATGCGCTGCTCCGGGCGGCGCTGCCCTGCCCGCTCCCGGCTCGGGCAGAGCACGGCGGCCCCGGCGGCCCCCGCGGAGGAGGAGGAGGAGGCGGCGGCGGGCGCGGGGCGGGTGGGCTGAGCGGAGCTGAGCTGAGTGCTGCTCCCGCAGGCGAGCAGGCAGGCAGGCGGCGCTGCGGCCGCGGCAGCCGCGGAGGAGCCGCCCGCGGGCGCGGAGCGGGGACGCGGGGAGCGGCGGTCCGCGGCGGCTGCAGAGGGCGGGAGGCGGGCGGCGGAGGAGGAGGAGCAGGGGGAGGCGCGGGATAAAGGAGCGCTCGCCGCTACCGCTCGCTCTCCGGCGGGGCTGAGTGAAGCATCATGGCCGCGAAGTCGGACGGGCGGCGGAAGATGAAGAAGGGCGGCGAGGTGGCGTTCACGCCGCTGCAGAACTCTGAACACTCGGGCTCCGTGCAAGCGCTGGCCCCGGGGCTGCCCGCGGGCGCCGGGCCGGGCGGCGGCAGCGACGACGACGAGGCGCCCGGGGGCGGGTGCTGCAGCGGCGGCGGGGACGGCTCGGGCGGCGGCTCCCGCTGCTGTTGCTGCTGCTGCTGCGGCGGCGGTAGAGGAGGAGAAGGAGGGGGCGGCGGCGGGGGCTCGCGGGGCTCGGGCGGGGGCTCGTCCTCGCTTTGCCTGCGGCTGGGCAGGGAGCAGCGGCGCTACTCGCTGTGGGACTGCCTCTGGATCCTGGCCGCGCTGGCCGTGTACTTCGCAGACGTGGGCACCGACATCTGGCTGGCGGTCGACTACTACCTGCGAGGCCAGCGCTGGTGGTTCGGGCTCACCCTCTTCTTCGTGCTGCTGGGCTCCCTCTCCGTGCAGGTGTTCAGCTTCCGCTGGTTCGCGCACGACTTCGGCGCGGAAGACGGCACGGCCGCCGCCGCCGCCTCCGGGCAGTGCCCCGCTGCCGAGAGCAAACTGCTGGTGAGCAGCAGCTCGGCAGCCGCGGACATCGACTCCGCTCGGCCCTGCACGCCGCAGCGGCAGGCTTCCACTGCCAGCAAGGGCAACGCCAACAGCAGCAGCAGCGGCAGCAGCGGCCCCGCTGGAGGCGGCCCCTCCAGCGGCAGCCGCACCGGCAGCGGCAGGTCGGCGTCGTGCGCCTTCTGCATCTGGCTCCTGCAGTCCCTCGTCCACATCCTGCAGCTGGGGCAGGTTTGGAGGTGAGCGGAGGCCGGGTGGGATGAGGGGAGAGCCCGAGCCGCGTGCGCCGGGAACTGGGCTGAGCCGTTGGGAAAGCGTGCGAGGAGTCAAGGGGGAAAAAATGGAAAAGAGAAGAGAAAAGGAGAGTGTTCTGAAAACGTGCCGTCGGTGCGTGCGTTCCGGGGTCCTGACGCGCGGACGGGACGGTGGTGCTGCCCGCCGGGAACTTTTCGAGGAGATGGGAACGCACGCAGCCTCCCGGCGCTGTGCTGGTGCTGTCTGCGTGTAATGCCCCGCTCTTTGCCCTCAGAACGCGCTTTCTGCACGATGTGATGCGGTGAAGGAATCAAACTTTTGAGTGGCTGCTGTCAGACAGATCGGGCGGCGGTGGGCTGTGCCGTGCCTTGCGGAGAGGCTGTGCCGAGGTGGGCGCAGGGGGAAGGCTCTCCCTGAGAGGCAGATGGATGACATCATAGTTTGCACAAGTCGCGTTTCCCCAAGTTCGGAGCGTGTTTCCAGGAGGGATTTCTCTGGGGGCTGAATGCTCTGTAAATACACTTAGTGCTGCTCGAATGGGGCAGAGTTCAGCCCGCAGAGTTTTTCGGGGGTTAACTTTTGGTATGGAATCGTGTTGTGCTGTGTGTGCTACAGCTGAAAATGCTTCTGGGGTTTCTTACCTGCTGGGTGGAATGGAATGCCTTCAAGGTTTCTCTTCGGGAAACTCTATTATTTTGGAATTGTTGCATCGGAGAACACAATGTGATGTTACTTCAAATCTCTCTCTCTGGAGTTCTTAATTTCATTCCTAATCTTCATTTTGGTCATGGACAGGCTATTGCTGTGTGCCAGTGCAGTAGCAGCGTGGCTCTGGTTCTGCCTGTGGCCTTCAAGCCTCAGGGAACACAGCAGCACTGCAAGGCCATGAGACCCTGGGATGCCATAACAAAGTATCACTCACTTTCCGGATCCTTAGATTTATTGCAACAAATGGAGTATGTTCACAAGTGGGAAGAATTCTCAGTTCCTGGTGTCATTGGTTCCTTCTTTAGTATCTACAGCATAGCTTGAGAGCAAAGCTGATTTTGGAAGGAAAAGCAGTGCTTTGTTGTAGATCTTGTGTGTGCTCTACCTCTGTATATAAAAGTGGGGCTTTCTGAATGATCAGGCTTCTGTGCAATGTGTAGTGCAGTTCCTTAGAGGTGTATGTATAATGATTTCCATGTAGAAATTCACACCAATATCCATCTGTACAGAGGCTGAATGTGCGACATGCTGAGTGAGATGGAAGAGAGTTTTACAACTCTATTGGAGAACAGAGAGAAGGGTTAGGTGGAGCAGGGTGCAATCGCCCAAGGCGCAGCTCTACCCAAGGAGTGCCTGGTGCTCTCAGCTACTGGTTTGCACATGGAGCACAATTCCTTTTGGCATAAAATCTGCTCCCTGTGGGGATACCTGGTCTTCCATATAGTTGGCTGAGCCTCTTCTGGTCAGGTATAACTTCTCTTCATGTTTTAGGAGTGTAGGAGTACCAGAATATTAAACGGCAAGGAGTGCTAGGGCATTGTTTATATTTTAGCTTGTTATGCCCCCCTCTCCTTTTTCTTTTTCCCCAGTGAAATGGAGCCATAGAATTGTTTGTCAGTGACTTAGCAGTACTAGCGGTTATCCACAAATGTATGAATTATACGGTCAATTGAATGCAGTCTTGCATATCAACGCTTCATAATTAATTAAAGTGACTTCATTTTAATTCCCTGGGTACATCCCTCATGAGGGAGATCCTTAGCAGTCATCTGAAACTAATAATCGGCATCAGGAAGGAGAGGCCCTGTCAACCCCTAAAGAGCTCTATGTGTAAACAGAGGCTCAGAACAAGTGTCATCCTTGGAAAATGAGTGCTATTTTCTGGGAAATGAAATGCTGACAAGGAGTAGTCCAAAACTTCTCCGAAGAGTAACATCTGCACTGGCCTGAGCCAACAGCCCCCTGAGCATTTAGGCTGAAAGATCTGAAGGATGTTTGATTGTAAGTGTCAGCACCACAGGTGCACTATCCCTGTCCCCACAGGTGAGCAGCTGCTGCTACTCTTAGTTCTGTGTCTCCTTCTTCTTGTCTTAACTCAGTTTTCAGTATTTTCTTTTTTTTCCATTTGGGCTCCAGTTAAATCTCTGCTATGCTTGTATTAAAGTTTTCTAGCACTTTTTAAATTGAATCCCCCACCAGCAAAGATGATAGTGGTATTTCTGTCCTTCCTCTGAGAAGGAGCTCTGCCAGAGGAGGGACAGCTGGGGGTTCGGGACAGGGTCTGTACCAGAGGGCAGTGGGCACGGAGCAGGCTGCCAGGGCAGTGGGCACAGCCCCAAGCTGATGGAGTTCAGGGAGTATTTGTATAACATAGGGATTCGGTTTTAGGTAGTTGTGTGGAGCCAGGAGTTGGTCTCGATGATCCTCATGGGTCCCTTCCAACTTGAGGAGAGAGGTTTACTTGTGCCTGGTTGGGATTATACCAAGACTGGTGCTTTGCTTTGGTCTCATTTGGTATTCCATCACCCTCTGTCTCCTCATTAAGTGCTGAATTGATTCCTGAAGTCTTCAGTTTCTCTTCATTTGTTTCATTGCCAAAGGTTTTAGGGGGGGATTTGTGGCAACTGCTTATTTAAGAAGACCATCCTGGGTACACCTGGCAATCCATACTTACGGATTAAAAGAGTTAGAAGTGTGGTTTGAGTATCTCTATAGTCTGACTTCTAATAATGTCAAAGCTTTTCTTTGTTTTGTGTTTAAGATTAATTTTTGTTTACAAATATATTGAAAGCCAGATCATGGAAAATGATTGTGTGTTAATTCTAACTAAAATGTGCTAATGGAAAAATGAATGAAGTCTTTAATGTGACGTAGAACAATGCGGTAGTAGGCAATCTAAAATTATTAAAACAAATTTTTATTGGGATGTGAGGAAGGGGAGCTGCAGGAGCTGCCCATCCATTCTGAACAGAAGTATGTCTTTTTTTTTTTTTTTGGAAATTGGTGTCATATTTTTTTCCCCCAAAAATATAGAGGATCTAATTCTTCCATTTTGAAGAATGAGGATGTAAATGTCTCTTATCTGGGGGGTTGAGGGGATAGGCGCATTCACAGATTTCCTGAAGACACTGTTCCTCAGTTCAATTCCATTGGAGTTTCTGAGGAGACGTTTGCCACATCTGAGTGCAGCCATGGGGCCTTTGTTGGCAGCTAATTTCATGTTAAAATATGATCACAATGAGATGTGCTGGTTTTTGAAGAGGCATTGTGCCTTCAGAGTATGGGTACATTCCTATGTGTGTTCTGCATTTTACCAGTATACGGGCATGAAAGCCACACTGTGGAGCCAGTTGTCCCAAAAATGTGCTGTGAGAGAAGTGGCCTTTTATTAGCAGGCTCTGGGGTGTACAAAGAGGATGTAACACACTGGGTCTTTGTATTGCATTGTAAGGAAAGAAGGGAGTGAATGCTTTAATATCCCTCCCCAATTTATAGTCTGTAAGGACTGTGCAGAGGTATAAAGGCCAGCAGGTTTCAGATAAACTATTGGCCTTTGGGCATGGCATGAAAGTATGTAGACACTGCCCTTGAGCATCCCTTTGATATGCTGAGCTTCCCAGGCTTAGCCCGGGCTTTCAGATCTTGCAGTGGATAACAGGCCGTGTGGCTGGATGTTGGAGATAATAGCGTTCATTTGGCACCTGTGGAGCTGCTGGATTTCCTGGAAAGCTTTTTGTTCTGAGTGAACAGAAGATGGGTGCATGGTGGCAAGGGTGTCAGTGTGAGAGGCCTGGGCTGAGCTCTGCCAGCTGTGTGGGAACCCAACCGGAGAAGGAGGAGGTGGAGCCAACTTCAATGCTGGCCCTTCCAGGTGTCGCTCGTTCACAGGGCAGATGTTTGTTCCAAAATAAGCCTGGTTCCCTTGGAGTTGCCCTATAGTGCACGTCTTCCACTGCTCTCAGTTCTGCCTAAATATTGGCACCATCTTCATCCACAGCTGTTTTTATTTATGTGCGATTTTAAGAAATCATTATCTTCCTTCTCCTTCCTGTTTCCTATCTGGGCGAAATAAAAGGTTGCAGGAGGGTTGTGAATGTGATGCTGGATTCTGGAAGTGGTGCGGGTTGTGGTCCTTCTGGTATCCTGTGAAGGCACTTTTCACGGAGTGGAGTCGTCTGCCAAAGGAACTTCATCACTTGCTCTCATAAGCTTTACCTCTGCAATCATTTGATGCTCCTAAAATTTCAAAATAAAATGGGAAACAGTGGCTGTGTGATGCATGAGAAGGCCATACGACTTTCTCAGGTGCCCCCTATAAAGCATGCCAAACCCTTAAGCTGAAATTTTGAATGGTTGTTCAAATGAAGAAATATATTGCTAGCCCACCTCCATCCTTAAATAGACTTATGGCTTTCATACTCTCTGCTCTACAAAAGCAGTTTTGACACTTCTGTTCAGGGTAACATAGGAGCTCAGTTTAGTTAGGTGGTCAATAATTCCAGCTGCCATTGGACTTCACAGTGAGATGTGATAATATCTCAATCTGACACCAGTTTTTCTCACTGTTTTGAAATCTGTCAGATAATTTGTCACATTGAGTCCAAATTTATGAGTCATAGCCATTTCCTAGACAAGATTATTGCATATCCTTCCATCTGTCTCTTAGTAAACCAAAATGCTACTGCTCAGCAATACTGTATTTGAAAGAACCACAAAATGGTTTGAGTTGGAAGGGAACTTAAAGCCCATCCACTTCAACCCCCAGCCGTGGGCAGGGCTGCCCCACACCAGATCAGACTGCCCAGGGCCCCACCCAGCCTGACCTTGAACACCTCCAAGAATGGGATATCAGCATTTCTTTTGAGTTACTGCAGTTCTTGACTTCAAGTCCTGTTGACCACCCGTTTTGCTTGCTTAGGATTCCGGAGAAGTGATGGACTGCCAGAAATAAGTATTAAAGTTCTTGTAACTTCTGTTTTTCCTGATGCCAGGACTA